GTTTATAATATATATATATATATATATATATATATATATATATATATGTATATGTATATATATGTATATATATATATATATATATATATATATACATATTCAGTGTAATGAACTTTTTATTCCCACAGCTGAACTCGATTTTAATAGCCCAGTCAACATCCAGTCTAATCACCTTAATCAGCTGTTCGTACCTTTTATGCCACAACACTCCAACTCCCCCAGAAATTCTGCCCCGCACTAACTCAGTGCTAAAGTCAGTGGTCGATTCACCTGCATCATAAAAGTCTTCATGCAGGGAGTTGAGTCTTTCCAAGTCCTGTTTAGATAAAAAAAAAAAAGTCTCTTGGATGCACAAAACATCACATTTTTCCAGAAGTTCATTCACCACAAGACGACGTGATTTATTTGCCTCTGTATGACCAACGCGCAACCCACGCACATTATTTGACACATTATTAATGCTCATTTATGCGGGGGCAGTTTTGTTTCATGCTAGGGCACAGCTGCTCTCCTGAAGCGTCAGGCGTAATCACAGATACAGGGTGCTGCAGCTCAGCCTCGCCCCCTGACCCGAGTGCAACGTTATCCCTGTTAGATGAATAATATAAAGTTCTAGCTTTATGGAGTGATTTTTTTGTATGTTAGCAGGCTATCTCTCCAGGATAAGTAAGATTCTCCAACGTTAGTAGAGCGCCAATTTTTCCAGCTTTCTAGATGTCTGTTTTAAAGTATGTAACTCAGAATTGAACCAAGGAGCTAATCTCCTCTGATTGATTACTTTCTTTTTCAGCGTAGCAGCTTTATCGAGTGAAATTTGCAAAGTAGTTGTAAAACAATCAACTAGATGATCTAAGTCACTGCTCTTTGTATTACTTTGCAAGACAGTTAAATGTTGTAGACCCATGGTGCTTTAATTTCCAGCCATATCATCTGACCATCTTGGATTTTAATGAAACTTTGCATATTTCTCAAATCTACAACACAGTATTTCAAATCTTAGGTCAACTGGACCAGTGGTTCCACAGATTTAGCCCCCCAAATCTTCAGATTTTCAGCCAAAATGACTGTGTCTGCCTAGCTTAAACCCCAAATATCTCAGGAAATATGTCCATTTTCACAAAATTGGTGTCATTGGAAAGGGAATTTGATGAGGATACCAAATCTGCCCTTACATTTCTGATTTGAGTATGTTGCCTTAACTAACCCTAACACTGTGCAGTTATATAAATGGAACCAAAAATCCTGTCAGAAAAAAAAGCTTGATTTCTGTGTTCTAACTTGAATAACTGCAAGCTAGTTACAGCAACAATATTTATTTCTGAGCATGTTAAAAATTCACAATTTTACTAGGGATGCACGATCCACATTTTTTTAACTTCCAATCCGATCCCGACACCTAAATCTAAAAATCGGCTGATACCGATCCAGTTCCGATATCATCATCATCATTGATTTTATATGAGGCTGTAATAATCTCCTCTCAAGTACAATTTGTACAAATACATGCATGCATGTCCAAAAAGGTAACTTGGGGTAAGTTTTATTAATGTTGGATAAGTTTAAAAGTTATAATTAAATTCTGCTAACACAAAACATGTTTCTTTTTATTCCTAGCTTTAAAGTGGATTTTAAAGTGATTAATTTAAGTGATTGTTTAAAGTTGTTTTATATTTTTTAAGTAAGGGGCAGATATAAGATTTTTCTTCTTTCTGCACTCTTTTCATTCAATGTTTTCTTTTTGATTAATTTGTTTTGTTTCTTTTAAGTGAATGAATAAATGAATTAAATAAAATAAAATGTTAAATGGCTTTAAACATCTGCTAAGTTCATGGCATAAACCATGTTCCTGTTTTTAGTATTTTACATCATTTTATAATGTAGCTGTTTTTATTTTGTTTATATATATATATATATATATATATATATATATATATATATATATACAGTGCCTTGTGAAAGTATTCGGCCCCCTTGAACTTTTCAACCTTTTGCCACATTTCAGGCTTCAAACATAAAGATATAAAATGTTTATTTTTTATGAGGCATCAACAACAAGTGGGACACAATCGTGAAGTGAAATGAAATTTATTGGATGTGTCAAACTTTTTTAACAAATAAAAAACTGAAAAGTGGGGCGTGCAATATTATTCGTCCCCCTTGCGTTAATACTTTGTAGCGCCGCCTTTTGCTGCAATTCCAGCTGCAAGTCTCTTGGGGTATGTCTCTATCAGTTTTGCACATGGAGAGACTGAAATTCTTGCCCATTCTTTCTTGTAAAACAGCTCGAGCTCAGTGAGGTTGGATGGAGAGCGTTTGTGAACAGCAGTCTTCAGCTCTTTCCACAGATTCTCAATTGGATTCAGGTCTGGACATTGACTTGGCCATTCCAACGCCTGGATATGTTTATTTGTGAACCATTCCATTGTAGATGTGGCTTTATGTTTTGGATCATTGTCTTGTTGAAGATAAATCTCCGTCCCAGTCTCAGGTCTCTTGCAGATTCAAACTGGTTTTCTTCCAGAATAGTCCTGTATTTGGCTCCATCCATCTTCCCATCAATTCTGACCATCTTCCCTGTCCCTGCTGACGAAAAGCAGGCCCAAACCATGATGCTGCCGCCCCCGTGTTTGACAGTGGGGATGGTGTGTTCAGGGTGATGAGCTGTGTTGCTTTTACGCCAAACATATCGTTTTGCATTGTGGCCAAACAGTTGGATTTTGGTTTCATGTGACCAGAGCACCTTCTTCCACATGTTTGGTGTGTCTCTCAGGTTCTTGTGTCAAACTTTAAACAACACTTTTTATGGATATCTTTGAGAAATGGCTTTCTTCTTGCCACTCTTCCATAAAGGCCAGATTTGTGCAGTGTACGACTGATTGTTGTCCTATGGACAGACTCTCCCACCTCAGCTGTAGATCTCTGCAGTTCATCCAGAGTGATCATGGGCCTCTTGGCTGCATCTCTGATCAGTCTTCTCCTTGTTCCAGATGAAAGTTTAGAGGGATGGCCGGGTCTTGGTAGATTTGCAGTGGTCTGATACTCCTTCCATTTCAATATGATTGCTTGCACAGTGCTCCTTGTGATGTTTAAAGCTTGGAAAATCTTTTTGTATCCAAATCCAGCTTTAAACTTCTCCACAACAGTATCTCCGACCTGCCTGGTGTGTTCCTTGGTCTTCATGATGCTCTCTGTGCTTTGAACAGAACCCTGAGACTATCACAGAGCAGGTGCATTTATACGGAGACTTGATTACACACAGGTGGATTCTATTGATCATCATCAGTCATTTGGGACAACATTGGATCATTCATAGATCCTCACTGAACTTCTGGAGTGAGTTTGCTGCACTGAAAGTAAAGGGGCCCAATAATATTGCACGCCCCACTTTTCAGTTTTTTATTTGTTAAAAAAGTTTGACACATCCAATAAATTTCATTCCACTTCACGATTGTGTCCCACTTGTTGTTGATTCTTCACAAAAAAAAATTTAATTTTATATCTTTATGTTTGAAGCCTGAAATGTGGCAAAAGGTTGAAAAGTTCAAGGGGGCCGAATACTTTCGCAAGGCACTGTGTATATAATTTTCTTGCAATTTTCAAATCATATGTTTTTTTTATGATTGTCTACTGTTGTACTGATAAATATCTCCTGGAGGGTAAACTTTATTTTGGATGCAAGTATCAAGCTGTGCAATCCTTCGTTTTCTACAACTGATAGTGGTTGGTCATTAATTATGATGAAGTTTAGCAACTTTGCGGTAAACATTCGAGCTCCGGGGCTTCAGCGATGTCTTCTTCTTGTTCAATCCGCAGCAAGCAGTCTGATCTCGGTCAGCTGCGCTCCGTCTGCCCCTCCTCCGACACGGACAGACTTAGCGGGACAGACTGAGTGGGTCAGACTGAGCATGGCTGACCAAAATCAGACCGCCTTCTCCGGACTGAATGAAAATAACGAACCCTGGAGCCCCGGAGCTCGAATGTCCAACGTAAAACTAACTTTACCATGGCTTAATGTGGTGCTATGGCTCTGCCGACATTGCACGTTGCTGTCTTGTTTTGTGGTGTTTTTTGTGTAAAATACTTCCACACAGCAAACCTGTTTCAATGAAAAGTTGGCTAACTTTTAGCCACAGTGCTGCTAACTCAGTCTTCACATTGTAGCTGGCTGTAAACTATTAAATGGATTTCCTGAATGCAAGGCAGGTCTTATTACTCTGGGTTCATGAGCTGCGCCTCCGTTCAGGAAATCCATTCCATAGTTTGAAGCCAACGTGCAGCACAACCACAGACATGCATCATGGATTGGAGATATCGGCAGGTTGGATTGGAAAATCCGATACGTAAATTATGCTGGTATCGGAGCCCGATACAGATACTGGATCGGATTGGCCCCATCCCTAAATTTTACCTTTACAGAGACTGTTGCATGTGACATTTTTGAGTGGGTTGTTAATAGGCTAAGACATCAGTGATCCACTTTGGTTTTGGCATTGCTTGGACTAGTCACTGGATCAGATGCAGTTAGAATGGTAAATGAACTGCACTTATATAGCGCCTTTCTATCTTATCAAGATACTCAAAGCACTTTACACTACAATCTGTCCCCTCATTTACCCATTCATACAGCACTCTAATATTTCTGTACAAAAAATAATCAGTGCTTTATTACATTCATACACCATTGAGACACACATCTGAGGCAATGAGAGGTTCATTGTCTTGCCCTGGGACACTTTGACATGTTGCTGCTGGTGGAATCGAACCCCCAACTCTTGTGTTGGAGAACGACTGCTCTAACCACTCAGCCACAGCTGCCCCAGAATTTAATAATTGAATTTATTTCTTAAAACTGAGGATAATGAAAAGCTGTTTACAATTAATTGTTCTAAACATTTACTCTTAGCCCCACTTATGTAGAATAATCTGAATTTTTAAGTTTTAAAACATAAGCAGTACAATTGTTTTTTCTGTATGCAGTTCAAGGTGCAACGACTGTGGTGATGGTGTTGGAGTCGGGCGAAGTCTTCATGGATCAGGTCGAGAATGAAAGTGTCGGGGACCCACTGGAGCCAAATGTCCCAATGGATCCACCCAAAACCTCCAACTGTTCAGTCAAAAATGCAGCAGCCAGAAGAAGTCATGTCCCCAGAAAGGAGAGGGTGTCCCACAACAGGGTTCTGGACCTGACGAGCAGCTGCCAGGGGGCAGAGAACAGGCCAGTGCTTCACCATTCCCTCAGCATGAAGGTGACATCGCAGTTCCTGCGAGGTTCTCAGAAACACGTGGCAGACAGGAAGATCCTGCAGCCTCCTTGGCGCAGTGGCTGTGCGGCCTCCTCCACCCCATCTCAGAGCTTGACCAGCTCCAGCCTTGGAAGGGGCAGATGGATGCGACGCAGCGAAAGCACCCTCTCCATTAACTACCCTTTGGTGACGAGAGCCGGCAGGGGGCTGATAAGACCCGCCACCTCCCTTCCCCACATAGCTAAAGGAGCAGCTGATTCGACACTCCCCACTCCCATCCGACCGTGTCTGCTTGTCTCCCTCAGACCTCTGAACTTGGACCAGGAAAAGCAGGCCTTCTTCCAGTCCAACTACAAGTATGAGCCACAGTTTGAGTACATGCAGCCCGAGCCGACGAGTGTTCTAGATAAGTACAGAGAAGGTTCTGGTCTCTTCCTGGAGCAGGTGGGTTTGAGTCCTAAGATGGACCAATTGAGAGTCTGGGTTGAATTTTCTAATCCAGAATTTGTTATTGTCTCAGAAACATAGCTGCACAGGTCTATTTCTTATTCTGATTTAAATTGCTGGGTTATAATCTGTACCGACGGGACAGGATGACCAAGGGTGGAGGGGTTGCTATTTATATAAAGGGTCATTTGGTGTGCTCTGTTGTTCTGGAAAAATCAATTCCTAACCAGTTTGGTCGTTTGGTTTTAAAGGTTCAGCTTTCAAATTATTTATCTTTAACAGTAGCAGGATACTATTGCCCTCCTGCTCCAACCTGCTCCCTGCTGTCCTTAAGTAATGCATTAGCATCCTTTACTCATTCAGAATTTGTGTTCCTGGGAGACCTAAATTAAGATATGTTGAATCCCCCTGATTCTGTTATCCAGCAATTCAACTGTCTAAATTTATATCCATTAATATTGCACCAACACGATATGAGACTACCTGTATAAATAAAGGCTAAATTAAAAAAATAAAAATCCAACACGATATGATCCCATCTGAACTGAGCAAAAACCTTTTTGATAGATGTGATTTTAACAAATTTCCTGCATATGTACTGTACTGGTGTCTTTTGTAATGACTTAATTGATCACTGTTTTATTGTCTGTACCCGTGAAGGCCAGAGAATTAAGGCTCCTGGATGCATTATCAGAAGCGAATTCTTAAAAATGTTAATGATCAAGAAAAAAAATTAATGACCTGACTGAACAATGTTGGAATTTTTTTTTACCTGGATCAGTGAGCATGAACTTTGATATTTAATGATCAAGCTTTTCTGCGTGATCTCACAAAAGTTGAAATGGGGCAGGATTGGCCTTGCCCCCACAGTGGAGGACACATGGCCGTTGTTTTAAATACTATTTTCGTACAGTGATCGATAATCATGCTCCAATAAAAAAAATGTGAATAAAACAACATTTTAGCCCATGGTTCTCCCCTGATTAAGCAACTTTGTTGCAGAAAAAGAATATTACGTGGTGTAAAGCATGGCAGTTGGGGTTGGAGAGTGATGAACTTGCTTTTCATCAGATTTGAAATATAGCAACACAAACAGTGCAACAGTTAAAGTCTGCTTATTTTACAGAGCAGTTTACACAAGTGTCTCTACTCCAGTTATTTTGGAAAACAGCAAGACAAGTGGAAAATACTGTAAGCCCTCAGTTTTGCCGTCCTCTCTAGATAATACTGTAGTCATTGATAAAGAACAAATAGTTAGTATTTTTAATATGCAGGTTCCGGTGGTGTTACAACATCTACATTGACTGGTTTGAATAGTAGCTCTTCAGCTCAATACTTGGGGAAATTGTCCAATGTATCCTTTGACTCCTCCCAGTCTCACCCTGTCTTTTTATAACATTTGTTTTCACTTAGTCACAGAGAACGAGGTCAGGAGGGAATTACAACCTCTAAAGCCTTCTAGACTGGACGAGCTACCTCCATTACTCTTTTAAGTTGGCGGCTCTGTTTGGTGTGGCACCATTAGCTAATATTTTTTATGTTTCTTAACTGCTCAAATTCTTGTGAGTAGAAGGCTGCTACTATTAATCCTCTCTTTAGCGGTGGGAGTCAGATTGATGTTAACAGTTATAGGCCAACATCTATTCTACATTGTGTGTCAAAGGTTTTTGAAAAACTGGTGAATAAGCAAACACATTATTTGAAGGTTTTTAATGGTTTGTCCAGCACCCAATCTGTCTTTCGTTCAGGGTATGGTTGCATTGCGACCTCTGAAAGTTCTCAAAGAAATTCAAACAGTATTGTGCAGCAATATTCATTGATTTGGCAACAGCTTTTGACTCTTGATCATTCCATCTTATTGAAACGACTTGACTGTATTCGAATTTTGGGACCTCCACTAACATGCTTCTGTAAATCATCTTTCAAATAGGTCGCAGCAAGTCAAGGTTGACTAATACAGTTTCTTCCATTATGTCAGGTGTACCCAAAGGCTCCATTCTTGGTCCAACTCTTTTTCCCATATTTATAAATGATATCTCATGTCCTGTTAGTGAGGCCTCCATCCATTTATATGCCTATGACACTATTTTATATGTTTTGGTTCTATTCCAGATGAAGTTGTGACGTCGCTTGCATGTGGTTTTCTTGAAATCCAGCAGGCCTTTTCTAACTTAAATTTGGCCTTAAGGGTGCATTCACACCAGCCCTGTTTAGTCCACTTTAATCGAACTCTAGCTCGTTTTCCTAGAAAGTCCGGTTCGTTTGGGAAGGTGTGAAAGCGCCATCAAACTCTGTCACGGAACATAAAGGCGAACTTTGGCCCGGGCTAAAACGTTGGTCTCAGTCCGGTAGAAGAGAACTCCAGCGCGGTTCAAGTACAGTGTGAATGTAAACAGACCGGGCCCCGCTCCACAAGCAAGAAGTGGAGTACAGCGCAGGGCAAACAAACACGCATTTTTCTTACCTTATATGGAGCCGTCAGCTGCCTTGTGTGAAAAACAATATTCTCCATGGTTTTCTGCCTCATCTTCTGCTCATGCTGAGTCGATTTTTGAAAAATGACAAAATATAACTCCTTAAACTGCTAAAACTTGGTGCCACTCCGTTTTTGTTTTTATTTCCAGAAGAAGCAGAAGAAGTGTCTTCAGAGGTTTTTGTGTTGTTTCTTTCAGTAGTTCTTGGTGCAGCGCCCCCACAGGCGAGCGGGGGAATAGGTTGGTTCAACAGGTTGACTCGACTGCACAGTGCAGTGTGAATGCAAATGCAACAGCTCAAATGTAAACAAAAGGTCATGAATATTGGTCCCCAACCGAACCGAGTCTACCGGACTATCAGGTGTGAATGCACCCTTAATGTCAAGAAAATTAAAATTACGTGGTTCGGTCATTGAGGAGGAACCAAACCCAACTCGGTAGACTTCACAACTATAAACAGTGACCTAAAAAAGCTAAATCTGGTCCTCTGGACATTCAAAAACAAAACAACAAAACAAAACAAAAAAAAAGTAGAAACGTTTCGTCTTTCATCCGAAAGACTTCCTCAGTCTGAGGTGCTGTATTTGGCTCAGTCTTATAAATAGCACCTTCTCATAGTGGATCAACCAGTTTGCTACTGACAGCCAAGACCAACTGCTCACATGATCAAGAAGGACCATCAGCCTAACGATGGATCATTAGCACCCTGATGGCTGTTTACTATTCACAGGGGGCTGAGTGATACTAGCAATAACAGCATTGTAAGAGGGGGACAGTTGAACACAGAGGCCCCCACCCTTGTTTAATGATGGACGATTTATTTTCACAAAGATGGCCTCCTTTACTCCTCTCTCAAACCACCATTCTTTTCTATCAAGGATGTGAACATCTTCATCCCTGAAAGAGTGACTGCTGGCCTGGAGATGAGTGTAGACCGCAGAATCCTGGCCTGATGATGTTGATCTTCTGTGCTGGGCCATCCTTTTGGCCAGTGGCTGTTTAGTTTCCCCGATGTAAGACTGATCACAGCCCTCCTGACACTGAACAGCATACACAATATTACTCTGTTTGTGCCGGGGGACTGGATCTTCGGGATGAACCAGTCTTTGCCGTAACGTATTTTGGGGTTTAAAAACCACTGGGACGTTATGTTTAGAAAATAAATGTCTGTTTCTCTGATACTCCCGCAACATATGGACTGACCACTGGTCTGGGTTCCTCCTTTTCACCTGATGGCTGACTCACCACTCTTAGCAAGGACAAAAACATCATCATTCTCCCAGCAGACAAAGGAAGGTGCACCGTGATTTTGAACCAGAAAGACTATCATGAGAAAGTTATGACACTCCTTAGTGACTTAACAACTTATGAGCCACTGAAAAGAGATCCAGGAAGTGGTTACAAGAAGAAGTTAATAGATTGCCTGAAAAACTTGGAGCAGGACAAGGCTATTGACCATATTCTGTACCACAGACTGTACCCAGGGGAGGCAACACCTAGTCTGTATGGTTTACCTAAAATTCACAAACAAGGAGTACCTTTAAGACCAATTGTTAGCAGGATTAACTCTGTCACTTACATTGTTTCTAAATATGTGGCGTCTGTACTTATCCCTTTAGTTGGCAGCTCAGAACACCACATACAGAACACCATGGACTTTGTGGACAAGGTCAGGGATGTCATCATGGAGACTGATGAAACAATGGTCTCTTTTGATGTCACATCACTCTTTACGTGCATTCCTGTTGATGAGGCAGTAGAGGTGGTCAGTTTAAAATTAAAATCAGACACCACTCTGAGCAGCAGGATTCCACAGAACAACTGTGTCAACTCTTGAAACTGTGCCTGCAGTCAACCTACTTCACATATGGGGAGCAATGTTATAGGCAGAAACATGGGTGTGCTATGGGGTCTCCAGTTTCTCCTATTGTTGCCAACCTGTACATGGAGGAGGTAGAAAAGAGAGCCATGACGTCCTTTTCAGGGACACCACCAAGTCATTGGTTCAGGTATGTTGATGACACCTGGGTTAAAATTAAATCTCAGGAAGTCCAACATTTTACTGACCACATCAACTCTGTGGATAAACACATCAAGTTCACATGAGAAGATGTAAAAAATGGCAGGCTGGCTTTCTTGGACTGTGAGGTCTCGATTTCGGATAGAGGACATTTGCAAACCGAGGTGTACCACAAACCCACTCACACAGACCAGTATTTGCAGTTTGACTCCCATCACCCTTTGGAGCACAAGTTAGGAGTCATCAGGACTCTGTATCACAGAGCAGACAGCGTCCCCACTAGCTCAGGACCCAGGCAGAAGGAGAAATCCTACACAAAACAGGCTCTAGAGCAATGTGGATATCCTAACTGGGCCTTCCTGAAAGCAGAGAAGAAACCCAAACAGGACTCCAGTCAGCCATCAGGTGAAAAGGAGGAACCCAGACCAGAGGTCATTCCATATGTTGAGGGAGTATCAGAGAAACTGAGACGTTTATTTTTTGAAAACAACTTCCCAGTAGCT